TAACTCAGCGGCGATTGGCTGAAGGAGCTGAAGGAACTCCCACAGCAAAGTCCAAATAAGATACTTTATAATTTAAGAAACAAAAGATGGGCAGGTGTGGTGATACACATCTTTAACTCCAGTACCTGGGAGGCAGAGACAGAGTGAGTTCAAGTGCATCCTGGTCTGCACAGAGATTTCAAAGCCAGTTGGGGCTACACACTGAGATTTTGCCTCAAAAAATAAAAGTTAAATTATCTCAACACAAAAACAAGCATAGCCTCCCCCCAGCCTGGGCTGTCGATTGAATTGGAGGCCAGCAGGGGCTACATGGAGAAAGCAAACAAATGAGACTAAAACACTACAGCTGGGCGTGTTGGTGCACACCTGTAAGCCCAGCTCTCTGAGAGCCACCGCAGGAGGATCGCAAGTCTAGGGTCAGTCTAAACACAACAGAAGCAAAAGAGGAAGAGCCTCTCAACAATCCCCTGAGTATTTACAACATTGAAGACTGGTTTTAGTGTATAATGCTGCAGGATAACTTTTTCCTGTTTTGTTTTGTTTAAGCCCAAGCTCAAGAAGTCCCTAAGTGAGGACAAAGGCCCCAAAATGAACGTCAAGTATCAAGGAAGAGGACTGGTGTTTATGTCCCCACACGGTGAGTGCCGCAACATAGCACATTATGCTCACTAACCATCGCTCCTGGTTGCACCATTATGGTCCATGGAACCTCACAGCATCTTCTGGCTCTGGGGGGCAGGGAAGAATATTCAGGATTGAACCTTGAGCTTCACGTGAACTTGTACTCTGACACAAGCTATAGTGCCAGCCCTATGGTTCTGGCTCAGCTCCCTCCCCGCCTCCGCAGGCCTGGGAAGCTCCCTCTTAGCGCAGGAGGGAGCTGCGCTACACCACAGGCGGTCAGCTTTTCTCTCTAGACACAGTCTTATCCCATTCCCGTTCTGAGACAGAGTTCAACTGTGCAGCCCAGGCTGGCCTCAGACTCACAGAGAGCCACCTGCTTCTGCCTCCTTAGTGCTGGGGTTAAGAGTGTGCGCCCCCACAGCCTCCTGCACCCTCTTTAAAATGTACTTGTTGAGAGTCGGTTTTGTGTACTCCAGGCTGGTTTCTACTTTGTAGCTAGCTAAGGATGACTTTGAATTTCTGACCCTTCTGCCTCCATCTCTCAATTACTAGGCTAAGAGGCATATGCCACTATACCTCTTTTATGTGGCGCTGAGGATCAAACCCAGGGCTTCGTGCATGCTGGACAAGCACTCTTGGGGCTTCTGGCCTCCTCCTCCCTAGCTCTGCTGTGTGGACACAGCACTGGGGATTTTCTTCCACTTGTCCCTGACCCACTCAGCTGCCTCTAGCCTAGGTCCCACGACACTGCAGAGCAGGCCCTGCGGTCCCTCCCTTCCTGACTGTACTCTGGAGCAAACTGCACACAGCATGGAACTCTCTTAAGACTCTGTCCTCTTGGTATATGGCTTTGCATACGTGGAGGTCAGGCTGTCTCTTCCTTCAGTGACTCATTCCCAGCCGTGTACAGACACGCATTTCCCCTGCTACAAGTCACACGTGTGCTCTCTTTTGTTCAGTGAGCATTTCCCCTAGACTCAGGTGCTGCCTCTGTGTTTGCTGATGCAAGGCTGCGCGTCTCCTCCCCGTGCTCTCCCTTAGGTCACTGCTGCTCACCTGCTGCGGACCCTCGTGGCGGCTGTTCTGTGCCTCCATCAAGCCTGTGTTCAGGATGGAGCAACCCCCAGAAATCTGCCCTCTGGGCATCACCCCCTCTTTGTTTCCTTTGCCTTTGGGGTGAACCAGAAAGGCCAGCAAATGTTTCTCCTATGGTGGTCACCATCCTCTCTGAGGACTATACCTAGCGAGAACCTTTCCCAGACCAAGACATACAGTTCCAGAACAGAAAGGTTTAAAGGGAAACCTACTTAATGCCTTTTTAAAAATTTTGTCTTGTGTCTATTTTGTGTATGTGGACACGAGTGTTCCACAGTGTGTGTGGAGTCAGGATGACTTATCTCTCTCCTTCCGTGTAGGTTCCAGGGATTAAACGGAAGTTGTCTGGCTCTGTGGCAAGCACCCTTGCCCTCGTCATATCTACTTTCGCTTTCGTCTTTGAAATGGTGTCTGCTCTGTACTGTTATAGTACTCGTTGGCAACTGGTCTTCAGCTCTAGCTGTATCTTGGTTTGCCCCGCACCTCTGGCCCTTTCACAGTGATTGAGTACCCACTGTGTGCCAGCTCCTGCACCTACAGCTACGGGTTTGTCTGCTGTCAAAGCCAGTCTCTTGCTCCACATAATCCCACTTCATCTGATGACCTCATTCGCACAGTTGTGACTTAATGTTTGCTAGCTAGACTTCTCAGTTGAGTGGGAATATAAGAAGCAAAAATTCTTCATTTTCAGACTTGTTCTGGCTTTAATAATGGGAGTCTTGGGTTGCATATAATTCCATTCTCTGCATTATCTTTTAACTTTTGCTGTTCTTGGGATGGGATCAAGCTGTCACATGTGCTAGCAAACTATTTCACTGAGCTATAAGCCCAGCACCAACTCTTTAAATTTTAAAATTTGCCAACTGACAAGTTAGGATTGCTTCAAAGCTACAAAAATGGCCAGGTATGGTGGGGCACACCTGTGATCTCGGCACTCGGTAGATGTGGGCAGGAGTATGGCGGGGCACACCTGTGATCTCGGCACTCGGTCGGTGTGGGCAGGAGTACGGGGGCACACCTGTGATCTCGGCACTCGGTAGGTGTGGGCAGGAGTACAGGGGCACACCTGTGATCTCGGCACTCGGTAGGTGTGGGCAGGAGTATGGCGGGACACACCTGTGATCTCGGCACTCGGTAGGTGTGGGCAGGAGTATGGCGGGGCACACCTGTGATCTCGGCACTCGGTAGGTGTGGGCAGGAGTACGGGGGCACACCTGTGATCTCGGCACTCGGTAGGTGTGGGCAGGAGTATGACGGGGCACACCTGTGATCTCGGCATTCAGTAGGTGTGGGCAGGAGAACAAGGGCTTCAAGGTCCTTGGCAGCACCGCGCTGAGTTTGCAACCAGCCCAGCCTACACAACCATCTCAACCCCACACTAAACAGACCAGAAAAATTATGATGATTGGAAAGGTCAGATATTATCTTAGAAAGAAACGGTTCTGGGAAGCGTTTGGATTTGCAGTTCTCTAGAAGTCAGAGCTCACCTGGAAACAAAGCTATTCTTATCTTAGTGGCACTCGGGCTCTGAATAAGCAGGAAACAGATGGTATCGTGAACTTGTCCCAGATATCTAAATGCCAGTCTGGCTGAGAATGGAGGTACCACTAGAGAGCCTCTCATAGTTCTGCCCGGCCCGCCCGCTCACTTCATGAGGGGTGAGGGGTACTGTCTGGGAATCTGGTTTCTCCTCACATGTTTTACGCGTCTGAGGAAATCATAAGATAACGCTAACTTGATAGGTCTTCATTTCAACAGATGATACAGAAATGGCATTTATGTTGGCAAAGAATACATTGTTATTTTTGAGTAACAAAATAATTTCATAAATATGAAACTTACTAAGTTGTAACCTGAAGTATGACATCGGTGCAAACTCGGGCCTGGAAAGTTTTTGGAAAGTCTCAAAAGTGAATGTAAGAAATGCTGTCTGCCACGCGTTGACAAAGACGTTCTTACTAAAGAGCAGGGGAGCTGCTGAGGGAGCTCTTTGGTCAAAAGCACACATCTTGGAGAGATGGCTCAATGGTGAAGAACACTCGTCGCTATTACAGAGGATCTGAGTTCAATTCCCAGCATCCACATGGTGGCTCACAGCCACCTGTAACTTCAGTCCCAGGGGATGCAAAGCCCTCTTCAGACCTCTGTGGACACCAAGCACTCATGTGGTGCACATACGTTCAGATAAAACACTTACACATAACACAAATAAATCTAATAGAAATGAGATCTTTTTTGTTGTTGTTGTTTTTCAAGATAGGACTTCTCTGCAGCTTTGGAGCCTGTCCTGGAACTAGCTCTTGTAGACCAGGTTGGCCTTGAACTCACAGAGCTCCACCTGCCTCTGCCTCCTGAGTGCTGGAATTATAGGCATGTGCCACCATGGCCTAGCCCCAGAAATGAAATCTTTTTTTAAAAAGTTTTAAAGCACATAATCACTCTGCCAGAAGACCAGAGTAGAGTTCCCCAAACAGCTGCATGTAACTCCAGCCCCGGGGACTGTTACACCCTATTCTGTACGCTACAGGCCCCTGCACTCACATGTGCACACACCCTTCCCCCCGTATAAATCATATGTGTGTGTGTGTGTGAGATTTTTTTTTTTATTTAAAACTGTGGTATGGTGGTACACACCTTTAATATCACAGCACTTGGGAGGCAGAGGCAGGCAGATCCCTGTGAGTTTAAGGTCAGCCTGGTCTACAGATCGAGTTCCAGAACAGCCAGGGCTACACAGTAAGAACTGATCTCAAACAAAGCAAAATAAACAGCAACAACAGCACATTTCTGCTGTTCAAGGAAAAGAAAGACGCGGGAGGGGGTGTGTCTGAAAAGCAGGACCGACAGTCGCCCTGGGCCGCTGTGCACTTGCTCCCCCCAGCTGTTGCAGATGCATTCCGCAGTTTCCTCTGTCCTCACAGGCTGCCGTGGCCCTGCATGCCACACACTGTCCTAATGTCTATATTAACTCACTCCACTGCAGAGAAATATGAAAAACCCAAAGATGATCAGAAAGAGAAACTCAACATGTGGGTGAACAACCTCTATGTCTTCTTTGTGAGCGTGCTTTTCAGCGCCTACAAATGTGAGGAGATGCTCAAGGGGAAGATAAAGGAGAACCGGCTCGAGCAAGCGGCACTGGCTCAGCAGAGGCAGATAGAGGATGAAGAGCTGGAAGCCAGGTAGGACATGGTCCCACCTGTCCTCCATGGGGCGGGGCATGCTCAGGTTTCTTTCTTTCTTTTCTTTCTCTCTCTCTCTCTCTCTCTCTCTCTCTCTCTCTTTCTTTCTTTCTGTCCTCCATGGGGCGGGGCGTGCTCAGGTTTCCTTCTTTCTTTCTCTTTCTTTCTTTCTTTCTTTCTTTCTTTCTTTCTTTCTTTTTTTCCTTCTTTCTTTCTTTCTTTCTTTCTCTCTTTCTTTCTTTCTTTCTTTCTGTCCTCCATGGGGCGGGGCGTGCTCAGGTTTCTTCCTTCCTTCCTTCCTTCCCTTCAAGGTTTATTTATTATGGATACAGTGCTCTGTCTGCATGTATGCTGGCAGGCCAGAAGAGAGCACCAGATCTCACTTTTGATGGTTGTAATCCACCATGTGGTTGCTGGGACTTGAACTAAGGACCTCTGGAAGAACAGTCAAGTGCTCTTAACCACTGAGCCATCTCTCCAGCCCCATGCTCAGGTTTCTTTCAAGTGTTCAGGCTTACAAGTCACAGGCTTACAGTGAGACACAGTATCGTAGGACCACAAGCTTACCGTGAGACACACTATCCTAGGACCACAAACTTACAGTGAGGTACATAGTATCCTAAGACCACAGGCTTACAGTGAAGCACACAGTATCCTAGGACCACAGGTTTACTGTGAAGCTTACAATTCCCCAGTCTCCAGTGGCACAAAAGAGAAAGACCTGGGGACTGGAAATGTATCTCAGTTGTAGATGCTTTCCTAATACTTGAGGCTTGGGTTTGGTCCCTAGCACTGAGACACTATTTTTTAAAAAAAGACTTCTGCTCTTCCCAGAGCTTTGAAAACTTTGTATATTGTGCAGCTGGGTATGGTGAAGCCTACAAGCTCAGCACTCAGGTAGGACAGGAGCTATCATGACCTCACCCACAGGCTGCTTTCCAGCTGCTCAGCGATCACAGCCCGGAAGAGCAGCTTCCAGGCTGCAGTCAGGGCTCAGAGGGGAAGTCCACAGCACAGCACAAATTGAGACCTTTTTATCCGAGGGGCTGACGGGGGAAAGACACTCACACTTCCCTGATGGATTCCTTCTTTATCCTCTCGTTTTCATGATGTTCCGTCTTTCTCCGTTCTCTGCAGCTTAAAATACCCAGCAAAAACTTTCAGGCAGTATAGGAGTCACATTTTAAGGTCATATTTCATTTCTTAAGTAAATGATAATAATACTAAAAAAAAAAAAGACAGAGTCACCCTGACAGCTCACATGCAATAGGTCTAAGTAACTTGTCTCAGAACAAGGAAGGAGCACTTTTTCTCAGTCAGCTCCCTCGTTGGTGGCTGTAACTTGCAGTTGCACAGAAAGAATCAGCCATTTTGCTATCTGTCTAGGGAGAAGGTCTATAAAGGGTTCAAAGGAGCTATAAAACTAAACCAGCAAGGCGTCTAAGAAAAATAAGGAAATCGTGTACTGTGTCCTACACGCCTGAGGCTTCCCCTGTGCAATTTCAGAACCCAACATAAACGGCCGAGCACTGTGTCTTCAGGCTACATATCCGTATCATAGAACTGAGGTTAGGAATTTGTGCAGAGAATTAATCACTGCCCCAGGTTATTAGCCAGACCTAGCAAGAGAGACCAGCACAGCAGTTAGGCTGCTTTACCCCTTTAGCCTTAGTTCAACAAATCCAGCAGCTGGCTATTGTGTCCTTATGAGCTGGGCTGTTGGTTTATCTTTAAAACCATTAGCAGCCGGGCAGTGGTGGTGCGTGCCTTTAATCCCAGCACTTGGGAGGCAGAGGCAGGCGGATCCCTGTGAGTTTGAGTTTGAGGCCAGCCTGGTCTACAAGAGCTAGTTCCAGGACAGGCTTGATAGCTACAGTGAAACCCTATCTCGAAAAATCAAAAACAAAAACAAAACAAAAACTATTAGCAAGGTACCTGGTCTAATCTAAAGCTACTTTGAAGATAGGGCACAGGTGTCCTGGCAGTGGGACTATGTAGCATTGCTTTGTATTCATTTTTATTCATTAAAACTGTAGAAGGTAAGATTCTTGATATCAACTCGACAGTACAGCTTAAGAAGGAGTCACCTTTTAGACAGTTCACAAATGCCCAGTAGATTGGGATGTATTCATGGGATAAACCCACTACAACACAGGCAGAGGGGGAACTCCCCTTAGCTGCTAAGGGAAATCTGCAATAGCAAACATGAAGTTACAGACACAAGCAAAAGATAGTCCAGATGGCCTTTCCTTAACGGGTTTCCCATCAGAGAGTTTTCCTCCTGGTGGGCTGGCACCTTAAATATTAATTGCCATCTGTTGTTCCTATGATATGGCTTCTGACATTTAGCTGCAGAGAAAAGCACCCGCTGGACCCTCTGGTCACGTGAGCAACATGAAGGTGTTACCTGGAACACTTTCAATACAATAGACCATTTTATTCACAAGCACCGCTGAAACAGCAGGAAATATCTTTATATCTTTAGATATAAATATCTTATATATAAATATTTATATATCTAAATATGTTTAGAAATAAATATCTTTAGAGCTAGCTAGATATTTCAGGGGATAAGGGTGTGTTCTGCTCTTACAGAAGACCTGAGTTCAATTCCCAGCACCCATGTCAGGTGGCTCACAACCACCTGCAATCTGTGCTCCAGGGGATTAAACATTTTTGGAATCCAAGGGCATCTGCATGCATGTGCACATAATCTTCCACTCCGTGCACACAAGTAAATATAATTTTTGCCTGTTTCTTGAGACAGAGTCTCACTGTGTAGCTCTCTGGCTGGTTTGGGACTCACTATATAGACCAGGCTGGCCTTGAACTCAGAAGGAATCAGCTGCTACTGCTCCCAAGTACTGGGATTAAAGGTGTGCACCAACACATTCACATAATTTTTAAAAAAATATAAAAATAAATAACTAAAACTGGTTTCATCCAGGCAGTGGTGGTGCACACCTTTAATTCCAGCACTTGGGAGGCAGAGGTGGGTTGATCTCTGTGAGTTTGAGGCCCGCCTGGTTTACAGAGCTAGTTCCAGGACAGCAAGGACCGTTGCATAGAGAAACCCTGTCTCACAAGTTTCACAGAAAAAAAAAATAGCTAAGTTCCCATTTTGATGTTTAGGCTGAACATCCTACGGGAAGAAGAGGCCAAGAGACAGGACTTCGACATTGACATCACTGTTCTCAAGGAACCACTGGAAGCTCCATCTTCGCTGCCACTCACACCCAGCCCTCCTAAAGAGGACCTGGTTTCCACCCAGACCAGCAAGGCCAGCCCTGGCAAGAAGAAGAAGAAGTGAAGGGCACTGGGAGTCATGGTTGAGCTGCAAGGACAGCAGACATATGACCTCTGTGATGAGTGTCCCATAAAATAAAGGGTTTGTGCTTAGCTTCTGATAAGAGTTTCTGAGGTCCACGTGTTAAGTTTCTTGTATGGCTGCATTTGCAAAAACCAAATTAAATGACTATGCAGGCATACATATATTAGTAAATATGTATTAAATATATTTTTGTAAATCAAAGTTAGCTAAACAGAGAGGTCCATCCCAGCACTCGGGAGATACAGGCAGGAGACTGGTGCAAGTTCAAGTCAGCCAGACGACATAGCGAGACCCTATCTCAAAAAACAAAAATAGGGGTTAGAGAGCTCACTTAGTGCTTTAAAGCATGTGCTGCTTTTGCAGAGGACCCAAGTTTGGTTCCTAGCATTCACAATGGGGCAGCTTACGATAGTCTGTCACTGCAGCCTCAAGGGATCTGGAACCATCCTCTGGAATTTGTGGATACAAGAAACGTGTACACACAAAAATAAATAAATAATTAAAGAAAGAAATAAAAACAAGGTAGAGAGTGATAGAAGGAGACATCCAAGACCTATCTCTGGCTTCCATGTGAACATGCACAGGCAAGCACACCCATCCACATGCAGACACATGCACACATACCCCACACATGTGCACACATACACCCAAGCACCATAAGCACACACACAAGGATGGAGAGCGATATAGGAAGGTATCAACGTTGACCTCTGACCTTCATACTCATACACTCATGTGCTTTGCACACCTGCACACACATTTTCATAAACACAAATACATACACGATTATAATACACACACACGCGCACACAAATTAAGACAATAGCAAAGGAGTCAAGACCCAAAGGAAGCATTCCATATTTGAACCTACATATTAGCCCTGCAAAACTGACAGAGCTCCAGGGAAGATTTCCATCCTGACCAGAGAAACAAAAGACCCGAAATTAGCAAAATAACAAAGCAACTCAACTAAAAGTTCGAATTAATACACAGACTCTGGAGCCAGAATGCAACAGAGAATAAATGCAGACTGAAACAAACGTGTGCAACTCGAAATAACACGTCACAGACAACCACGATCTAATTGAGACACAACCGCAATCTCGTGAGGGACACACAGGAAAGCCCAGTGTGGTGAGGAACTAACCCCACAGTCTTAGGCTACGCATGGGCAGAGAAAAACAGTCCGAATGGCAATTGTGAATTATTCTGAACCGAGGAACAATGAGGCCAGTGCAAACTGATGAAGCTGCTTCCTCGCCCCTAATGCAGTAGGTTCATGGAGGTTACAAGCTGATTGCAGAGTTGTTTGGGGGGCTGGGAAAGATTGTGTTTTTCAGACCACTCAGCGAATTTTCTCCCAGACCCTGGGCTGCTGGGATCATAAAAATAGGGTTCAGTAAAATTCAGTCATATTTCACCTCACCTGTGAAGAGATGCAGGGTGTCATGGCTTTTAGTGGGGGGCTCATGACAAAGAGGAACAGTGTCTGGCTAGACCACTCTGGGGTGATCCTATCAGCACCTCACTGTTCTGCTCTCGTGAACAGGCAGACCCCAATGCTGAGCATCCCACACTGTCAGAATACTGACTGTTTCGGTTAAGACTTTTGTTTTTAACTGCATATGTGCACAAATGTACACGTGAGTTCAGGTACCCCAGGAGACCCAAAGAGGGCATGAGATCTAGAACAGTGGTTCTCAATCTGTGGGTTGAAGGACCCTTTCACAGGGGTCACACATCAGATACTTTTATAAATATTTACATTATGACTCATAACAACAGCACAATTGTAGTGAGGAAGCAGCACTGAGAATAATCCTATGGTTGGGGTCACCACAACATGAAGAACTGTATTAAAGGAGCGAGGCATTAGGACGGCTGGGAACCACTGTCCTAGAGCTTGAGTTACAGGAGGTTGTGAGCCACCCAGTATCGGTGATGAGAATCAGACCACAGTGTTCCACCAGAGCAGCCAGTGCTCCTAACAGCCGAGCTGTGCCTCTGGCCCCGACCATGACTTTTAAGCCCCACTGGCCAGTGTAGTCAAACAACCAGCAACAGAAGACTCAACAGGAAACCAGAATTTTTAAAAACTTTAACAATTTATTAGTCTTATTTCCCAGTAAAATATCCACATAATGTCAGAAGAATGGAATGATATTCAGCTGACTACCTTTAACTAATTCCACATAAATATTCAGCATCTAAAAACCTCAGGGAATCACCAGACCAAGTAGAAATTGATTTTTCAAAGCAGGTATTGCTTTACTCTCGTCACTAATCCAGTCAGTGTCATGACCAGTAAGTTGTAACGGTAAACAAAGGTTTGCTGAGGCTTTGAAAGAGGTCCCGGGGAGCCGGTGGAGTCAGTCCAAGAAGAAGATGTTATTGAACTGCGTGGCACAGAGCTTTTTCACCTCTTCTGCAAAAGAACAGAAAACGGTGTATCAAGGAACACAGCTTCTCTCCTCGGTCAGGACCTTCAGTTCTTTGGGGATACAGTTAGGAAATAAGTAAGTCTGCATTAATGTCGACTTTAAATTCCAGAAGCCTAAGCAATAACAACAAAATTAAACAAAGGAAGGCAGCGGGGGAAACAACTAACAAACTCCTGGGACCTTGTTTCCCAGCACACTAGAAATGCCACCTCTCGGGGTCAGGAAGAAGCGGTGTGAGGAGCATACAAGGATGGCGCTCTTTAGAAGCGGATGGGGTGCTCAGAAACTCTGGCTAAAACTTGGGATGTAAAGCAAATGCTTCACAGAGGCCATGGCCTTGACTACTCCACTCCCACTTCACTTTGATCTCGGTGGTGCCAAGTATGGAGCCCAGAGCCCAGAGTATGCAGGCAAATGCTGGACCAGAGCTACATGCCCACTCCTCTAAATTCCTGTTTTTATTTCAGGTATGCACTAACTGATGTTTTTCAAGTACACAAATATTAATACAAACATAGATATAAAATGTCTTAAGGCTGGGATGGTGAGGCTGCCTGTAATCGCATTCTTCAGGAGAAAGGTCGGAGGACGGTTTTTCAGCTCAAGATCAGACTGGTCTACATAGTAACTTTCAGGCCAGACAGACAGGAGATCTTGTCTCAAAAAATAAAACAAAAACCCGCAAACAAATAGGCAAAAGTAAAGATGTAAGCCCCTCGATTTCCCTTACAGTGTGCTTAATGGGCTATGTCCCCTAATCGTGCTGCTGCTGGTGCCATTCTACAGCTGAGCACCGGCCCAGCACCACCCCTGCTTCAGGACAACATTCATCAAGACCACAAAGCAGCTGCTGGATCGCACTGTGCAAACAGCCAGACCCAGCCAACTTTGATGGGAAGGCAGAAAAAAACTGCGTTCTGCTCATGCGCAGAGGTGACAGCTGGAGGTACCGTGTTTAGAGAGACGTGGTCTCATCACAGACAGATGAAAGGACATCTGTGCAGTGTGTACAGCTGTGGGTGTTGATTTAGTTTTATTTTTCTTTGTTTTGGTTTTTCGAAACAGGGTTTCTCTGTGTAGCCCTGGCTCCCATTCTGTAGACCAGAGTGGCCTTGAATCCAGAGATCCGCCTGCCTCTGCCTCCCAAGTGCTGGGATGAAAGATGAACACTGCCCAGCTGAAAACAATTTTCTTTTAAGGCATTATTAAGTTTAAGACTTCATATTTATTTGTGTGTGTGCATTTGAGTACGTGAGCATGGGCATGTATGTGTGTGCCATGGCACACGTGTTGAGGGCAGAGGACAACTTGTGTGTCTCGGGGATCAATCTCATGTCGTCAAGCTTGGCAGCATGTTCCTGCATCCACTGAGCCATTTCACAGGCCCTGTTTGCTTTTTTGAGTCAGGGTCACCGGTAGCCCAAGCAGACCTCAAACTCACTATGTAGCTGAGGATGATATTGAACTCCGAATCCTCCTGCCTCAGCCTCCTGAGAGCTGGAACTGCAGATGTGAACCACCACATGCAGGTTCTATAATATTTCTCAATACAGGGGAAAGATCACTTTGAAATATCAGTGGCATTAAAATTCTATTGAAATATCAAATCTTAGTTACCATTGACTTCGATCAGGTTTGCGTTTTTTTGATTCAGAATTACATACAGCTCCCGCTGGTCAGACTTCTTCCCAACAACCCAGTAATCGCTCATGGCTTTCACAATGATTTCTTCATCTTCATCTGCTCTGTAAGAAAGTTTCAGATGGGATCGTTTTATACACCCAGCTCAACTGTGGGGAGAAAAAGAACTCAAGACAGGAAATGGCACTAAACTGTCGTCTCAGTCAGGAGTTATGTGTGAATGAAGACAACTTCGTGTGATGTGGGAATAACACCCACGAGTGGGTCGAGCCTGAGCCCTTTCCAGGGGAGGCAGAGAGCTCTGGAGTACTACCTAGGCTACAGAGTGAAATCTGTGTAAACAAACAAACAAAAAATAAATACAATTCCTTTAAAATCTATTCTCAGAAAGACAGCACCCACTTTGAGAGGCGGCTAGAATTACCTGGTGAAGTCACTGTTGATGTCACCTAGAATCTTCATCAGATCTGGATGGACGGACGTGAGCGACACACTCGGCGTTTTCCTCATGTGAATTGTACTTTTCTCTGCTAAATTCATGTGGTTGAAGTAGATGAACTTAAACTGGGGTTCTTTCTCAGACCTGTCCAAACATGACACTGAGGTGTAACAATCTGAGAGAATAATTACCCAACTGCACAGCCACAGTGTGAAACTTTCAAAGTATCATGTGACCTTGTCTCAGTAAACAAACAAAACCCAAAAAACCTCTTGAACACAAAATTCATGAACCAAAACTGTATGGCAGGGCTGGCACGGTGACTCAGAGAGGAAAGGCACTCGCCACCAAGAAGACCTGAGCTGGAAGCCAGGATGCACGCGATGGAGGGAGAACCGACTCCTGAAGCCCGTCCTCTGACCTAGACACGCTGTATGAAGGTCTTGCGTTTTCAATGGCTGGGTGTTCAAGTCAAGGATCTCAGTGAGTGGGGTCTGGAGAGATGGCTCAGCAGTTAAGAGCATTGGCAGCTCTTCCAGAGGT